AAACATTAAAAATATTAATCACGTAGAATATAAGTACTCAATGATAGGCCGGCTTATGAAGAGTCGGCAAACCATGTAAATGAAAATTTACGTGGTTTATATATACCATTCAAATATATGACACAACTTCTACTATGATGACTCTAGATATACAAAAGCGTTTATTCTTGTTCTCAAACACAAACACATGGTAATCATGACAATTATTCAAATTACAAATAAACACTTCTAAATGGCAAATGATATTACCATTCAATATCAACACAATACATTTAAATACAAGCACCAATTACTGGTTACGCTTCTATTGTATTTGTGACTTTTTTATTCTAAAAAGTGCCTCGATATTGTTAAAAAGACAATCAAAAAACAAAATGACTAAACACTGAGATATATTGATGATATGTGCTTAAATAGCGTTATATACTACTCAAAACAAAAAATGTTCATAGGTTTGATCGCTCAAATGATGAATATAATCAAGAGCAATTCACAAAGGTTAAAAACATAGAATAAAATCAATGAAGAAAAAAGAGTAGTTTGATTATTATTGATTGATTACTTTGTTATTTCATTGGACTTAATTAATAAATGTAAAATAACAATTCAATAATATAGTTTTTGAAAAAAACATTTGAATAAAATGTAAATAATTATGTTGATTTTGAATGAATACGTGCGATAATACTCGAAATCGTTTGCTATAACCACGTATTGTATTGTCATTAATAATATCAGAACATTGTTTTATAATAGTAATTTACAACAGATGTAACATCACTGTTTCTAATTTCATTTTTATTAAAATCTTGGTATTTATGATTGATGTGTAAAAACCCATTAAATGAAATTGTAATTAATTTAGTTGAGAGTACTCGCTTTGTTCCTTCCTACGACTTTTTAAGTTGAATGAAAGCTTTTGTGTTGTTTTTTTTGTGTTTTTTGTCGTGTTATCGTGTGGTTAACACCAGTAATGTTGCTAACATAAGATAGCACACTTATTAAGACGTGTTGTTGTTTTTTGGTCTCAGAACTTTTATAATAAAATACACTCAAAAAACAACTTTTGGTTTAAAAACAACCAATTTCAAAAAATCAAAACATAAACACGTTTTATAACATTTCAATATGCCACAAACTAATACAATATAAATAACAATTGGCTGATATTTATTTGAACTATGTCTTCATTATTTTATACTAAAATAAGTTTAATTCACAAGGTTTCTTTCATCGGATTTAAAAAATATCAGAATATTTCCAACAAAATATATTGTATCTAAATTGTCAACGTGTAAATATTGAATATTTTCAAGTCGCAAAAATTATTTTTGATATTTGTCTCTGATCTTTTCAAATGTCTCATGGTTCTAATTACCATCGACATCGGTGTTCAATTATCTTATTCCATCTCCATATTTAATGGATTCACATAAATCATAGTCTATACCCTTTTTCTTTAAAAGGTTTTACTGTATTAATAATTTAAATGTATAAATAAAACAGATTAACAAATAATTAAACTACATATTAAATAATATTGTTTATTATTATAGTTATTTTTTATTAATAACAAATAAAAAATTACTAAATTTTATAAAAATATATTTAATTTTAAAACACACAAAAACAAAT